ACAGACACTACGGAATATTGTGCCTCACAATTTGAATTCTTCGTTTCATCCCTCCCGATGTAATACAGTCTTGCTTTCGTGTTATTATTTCTCCTCCCTACTCACTTTTTTTATCCACCGCTTCTTTGCAATGATGACAGTGTCATACGTCCGACATAATAATTACTCGTCGCATTTGGCTTCTGGATAATAAATATTCCAACTATCACAATGAGGACGCGACTACCTTCCCTCGGCGGCCTAAATGCAGGACACAAACGTGCGCACGTGTAAACGCATGTAAAATAACGCGGATAAGACGTGAGGGTGGAATATGAACACATTGTGTCGTAAAAGAAAAGGGGTTTGCACAAAAGGTGGCAAGAGGATGGTTTTGGTGGGTTGGGACCTGTCTAGACTAAACGGGACTGCACGACGTAAAACGCGTTACTCGAAAGCGTCTGCATATATATTCGTTCTACCCTCACGCGTTTCTTCCCTTTTTACGTTTTTCCCCTTCTAACTCCCCATCTAAGTCCTCCCGGGTCTTATTTGCCCTTCATGAAATTAATCATCGTCCAACTTACTTCCGGACGTTATTTTCCTATATCTCTTTTCGTAAATCGCTTTATAGATATATTTATCACGTAATTAATCGCATGTTTATCTAAGGTAAGATCCTAATACTCTCTAAGTGTATCCTAATGAACATTTGATGGGCTATCAGCCTACGGTTTCCGTGCGTTTCGTGTGTGGATGTCATTTTGGCGCCCTGCTTTATTTGCTAATGTAGCATTTCATTTTCTATAATTGATGGTTATACAGACAATACAGTTTTATGTTCCGTAACACGTGGTGAAAGTTTTGGAACACATTGAGTTTGAGCATAAAGATACGGATTTGCCTTACGCCTTTTTTTGAGGATAGTCTTCTTCGCATGTAAGATGTGTCCTTGCGAAAGTATCGGATAATATCTGTGTTAAAAGGACACAAGTGACAAAATTTCTCCCGTTTCTCGACGAGCGTAACGTAAGCCGGGAATGTCGTACCGGTCGTGCGGACATTACGTCACGCCCGCGTCGTCTCGCTCTCGCGGAGACTGCGCAAAATGGAATGGACACGCGATGTCAGCCCCTAGAAAATTTACGTGCGTTTACACCCGTGTTCCTGGACCACTCCTGGATTACATTCAGCACCTCTGCTCCGCTCACCATAATTCAATCCCCAGGTCAGGACGTGCCCATGACAGGCCACGGGTCATTCGCAAACGTGGGGTCAGCAGAGAGGAACGACAGTATTAGCGCGCGAGAACGCGCTCACATACACAGTCACATATACACAGTCTATATATATATATATATATATATATATGGAGATCACGAGCGGGGAGGAGGTATCGTTGCTTTTTACGAGCAGCCAACTTCGGAACTGGGCCAACCGCGACCGCGCGCGCCTCACATCCATGGAAGGCGCGTGGGGTTCTGGGTCGAATGGAACTCGTAACTGATGCACGGGAGAAGAATTGCATGGCGTGTGCGTACTGCGTGTCTTCGATCGAAGAGGATAGTTGTGGGATCCGTTTGCGTTTGGATGTCTCGCGAATTCGTCGATACAATGTACATTCGCGAGTTTGGCCGGGGGAGGTATATATACGATATAGGTATGTGCCTCTTGCGCGGATGGGATAACGAATTGCCAGTTGTACTTCCGAAGATACATCTCCGTGATGTACAACCCGTCGTGGTACGGGAACTAGCGTTTCCCGACGTATACATAGTACATACGGTGCCGACGGTATTTTCCTCACGGGTCTCCTTCCGGATCATCCAATTCCGCGGCAGTCTTCCTACCTCTCCTTGTCTCGACCCGCATACCTACCTACTCTACAATGATAGAAGGGGAAAATTTGCGCAGTGTCGTCCTAGGAGGAGGTGGTTATCGAAATAGCAATGGTAGTCACGGTCAAGACGGTATTGTCGATCGCCGATAAACAGTCGCGCGAATAACTTAATAGAAAACTCCTAACGACTAACGTGTATGGAAATTACTAAGTACTATGACCAAGCAAAACCGAATAGAGCAATTCCGGGGAACGGAATTAGTGGGAGAGCGGAACCGCGAGAGGGTTGACGGAGAGAGGGGATGCGCAACGAGAGAACGGGGACGAGTAGGAGTGGTACCGGGACGGAGCCTGCACGGAGGTTGCTGTCGACGCCCTGCCGCTGCTTCCTGGTTTCCCTATATTGATTTTCCACCGCGCGCGTGAGCTGGAAAGAGACGGAATGGAGCCGAGAAACGTTTCCCCTCTGTGTGCATGTAGGTGTGTGTGTGTGTGTGTGTGTGTGTGTGTGTGTGTGTGTGTGTGTGTGTGTGTGGCGCGTGAATCCAGTGCTTGTGGATGCGTGGATGCGCGCGTGCGCCTGTGTGCGTGCACGCGCGCGCGGAACGGACCGAGAGAGGGAAACGGATTGGTACCCAGGTGGGGTCCGGGGGGCCCCGCATGCACAAGGAAGGAAGAGACATCAGGACCAGAGGGTTATACGGGCGGCGCGAAGAGGACGCGTTTGAGGAGAAGGTGGGGCCACCTTTTGCACCTCCGCCGGCCATGCCGGCGTGGAAAGATGGGCACGATTATTCGACATCAGGGCGTCCACCCCTTTCGTTCCTCTCCGTTCCGGATTCGTACAATATATATACCTGAATATATATCCGCGTCTCTTCTTTTTCCCCTCTTTCTCATGCCACGCCACGTTTGACCAAATAAGTGTCACGGCCGTTTTCTTCCAGCACGGCAAAGGATGCGCTCCACTCGCGTTGCCGTAAATTTCAATATTGGCCCAGGATGAACGAGACGTGTGAAGATTATCACGTGCCAAAACAGATTTATTTATAACGCGTATCAAGTAAACTATTACATACATGTATGATTTTTAATTCATTTAGTAGCGATGACACTAGTATGCGATATTACGTACGTTTATATAAATTATTTTAAATGTGTGCTGAAATGTAACACAAAACAGAAATCTTTCTACAAGTTTGAATTTAATTTTTTTTTTCTGAGACCTTTCTATTCTTGTGTTATCGAGAGTTCGCATATTTATTTTCTAGCTTCGCACAAAGCTCGTAGATGTTTTCAAAGGACGGACATGTAGAAATATGAAACATTTATATCTACCAGACGTTCCAAGACGTTCCGTCCACTCGGCGATGCTCCAAGGAGGAGCATTTATTTGTGTGAATAGACATTTCTCTTACATCGTGCCACCGCCCGTTATTTTTCGTTACATTGGCCGTTCTTCTCAATTGGTCACCTTCAAAGGATCTCGGTTCTCTTTCGTTATCATGTCTTGCCCATTTCTTGTCTCCATAACTCCTTGTCTGTTTCTTTTACGAGGTACTACATGCACAAGAAGAAATCAGGGCAAAGAAATTGCTGCGCAAGGAAGACGTACTCGTTTGGATTATTTTTGACAAGCATTTTTCGAGCAACCTGGAAAAAGTACTTTACACTAATCTTAAAATGATTCGATCATTCACTATTCAGTAAATAAATCGAAATTATATATTTTTATTCCTAATATTCAATATCATTGTACTATTATCTAACATAACAATTTTTATCATATTTTAAATAATTTATAAATACTCATAATTTATATTAAATCTTTTACTGTTTGGTAGTGTTCGTAGATAATCGCTATCAGCGCGAACGATTAAATGATGATTTATAATTCACTTGAATTTGTGTAATGATGCATATATCAAGATTTACAAACGATGCTGGATATAATATATTAATCTGATCGCAAAGATTATTAAAGTTAGGGGACTGACTTTTTTATCAAACCTCTTTTTTATCGAACCTTCCACGCGAGGAAGTCGACAATTTCATGGCGTGACGTTCGAAAAAAAGCCCTTGTCGGGCTTTATCAAACTTTCGCCAGGAACACGGCTACTCGGCTTCACGATAGCCGAAATAAAGGAAGGAAAACGGATGTGCATTAAGGGTGTGGCGACGGCGGGCATGGAGACTTTTGAATACATCTCCGCTTTAACTGCACTCCCCGATTCGTTACAAGTGGCCTATTACAGATCTTTCTCTAGCCCGTCTTTTATCCCTACACTTTCTTTCCTGCTGCTCGTGGGGATGGCATGCTTCTTTCTGGCAGATACTTCCTTCCATCACCGAGAATGTTACTTCTCTTATCGTTTTTCAAGTTCTTTGCTTCACTTGTCCTCCTTCCCGAGAGCGCTGCTAGTTTACGCGGTATTCCATCCAGTACATTCGCTCACAGCTAGAAAGCTTTTTCTAACCAGAAGTAAGCATCTTATCTCTTGAAATGGTTCGCGACGGAAATTGAAAAATCCAAAATTCATGGAGTTTTATGCACGACTTTTTATATATTATAGCGAGAATATTCTCGATTCTTGTCAGCTAAAACAATCGTCATAATGGAGGTTCACGAGCATCATCCACGTGAAATTAAGTGAAGTAGGTAAACATTTCGCCTCCAACGCATTTCGAAATAAGATTTACAGACTTGAGTACAACTAGATTCTAGCTTTAGATATCGCATATTTAGATACGTAATTGTAAAATATTTTATGAGCTTTTAAAATACAATATTTTAATAACTTGTAACATCATATTTCTTACCTACCTGATAATTACTTTGAATATCGATAAATTAATAAAAATACAGGACTCTCAGTAAGCCTTCCATAAGAAATTGACCCATCACAGTCAAATGTGAGAAGAATAATTGATTGAGAAATTTCTTACGTTACTGCTAATGAAAAATTAGATATAAAATAATTATTCATTGATTAATTGTAATTAGTCGTTTTGATTAATTTTACTAACCAACATGCATTTTTGTATGCATCTGGGAGTGCAAGCAAAATGTCCGGTGGGTTTTTTATTTGTAAGAGAGTTCTAGTTGTGAAATTTTCGATATCGCAACTCTATATAGGAGCCATTACGAATATAAGATTTATAATATCTCGATATCTTCTAGGATCGTATGACGGCTAATGGAAACTCACCGTTAGACAACATGAGGACTTTGGAACACTATCTGAGCGACATTATGCGAGCCGGCGCAGCGGACACCCCAGAACATCTGAAAGGTATGTTTCATATCTTTATAAGCTGTGTGCAATTACTGTGTGACGATGTACAACGAGCGTGCAATATCTACGAAAGTAGCGATCCGCGCGTTAACACCAGTTAAGTCAGAAACGTCAGAATTTTCTCCTTAAAGTCTTGCGTCCTAATTGCAGAGAGCTCTGTTCTCTTTCGCGTTTACAACGACTGAGAATGCGTTAACAATTCCATGAAATATCTTACGAGAGCGTTGTACTCTCACAAAGATCCTATCCACTTTATCCTCAAATCTGCAACTCGAATTTGATATATGTCAGATATGATACTACACGAATAATTAAACTTTTTAACTTTAACTACTTAGAAAAAGAACGAAGAAAAATACTAGTAATAATCTTAAGAGGCGGATGTATTATAGATTTATTAACTATACAATAATATTAATTTGTAAATAATGCAGGTTAACTATAAATATGCGTAAATATGATCTGCACAGAAAAAGTAGGACAATATAGAAAACATGTTGTCTGTGTTACTGAACTTTATGCATTCTAAAATAGAATAGAATTAGACCTCAATGTAGATCCCCTTCAAGTAATTTGACAGAAGACATAAAGCAACGTAAACTTGGCTGATTGCCACAGATTTTATGTATTATTGCGCGATAACGTGACAATAATGGAAAGAAATGCGAATTTCAATGATTTTATGGTCAAATTAGGAAAGACTAGTATTTTATGACGTACCGCACCGGTTTTTGTTTCCCGCTATCAACTTGTAGATTCCAATTATACGATGCATAACGATAAAATATAGCGTCCACTATGACTTCTTTATATTGACGTAGCACGACGTTCGTGATCGACTCCGCTATATATATATTCCGCGAATCGATCTTCAGTCGTAACGTTGCATTTAATGCACCGTTTGATTACGTCGCTTCGAGTCTATGTCTATTACATCAAGAGTGCACTCGAGGTCGATCGCCCCGATATGAACCCGCGTAAACGTGAGATATAACGATGCCATTGAAACTGAAGAGCAATTAACGCGCGAAACCGAGTATGGAAACTACATGGAAATATTTCCTAGTGCCATTCACAGCATTCTGCAAAATTTTAATCCTATTACAAATTTATTTGCAATATTTGCGGTAACACAGATTATTAACAAGACCAGAATATTAACAAGACAGACGATGATTATGTGAGGAAATATGTGTCCATTTTAATCGATCTATTACAACGAACGTTGTTCGTGAATTGCTGTTATGCCATGACACAGCAGCGATCTTTACATGAATGAGCCTCTTAGGGTATAGGATCGGGGACCAATCGAACAACTAACCAACCGATCCAACCCCGAATGATCACTCGACGCACCGTCGGAGCACTCTGCACCCTCCACTCGACGCGTTCTACTCACTTTACGTCGGCACGTAGAGAGACGATGCCATGCAACTATGCGGTGCGCACATGCGGACGGATGGATGAACGAACGCACATCGCATTGAGAAGAGCGAGAGAGTGAAAGCTGTGAAGGCAGGACGACATGCGTCTCGCTTGCATCGTTCCTCTTCTACCCCTTTCGCTCCTCATTTTCTTTTTTGTGCCCTTGTCTACCGGAAGAGGAAGAGAGAAAAAAAGGAACAAGCGGAAGAGACAGAGAGAGAGAGAGAGAGAGAGAGAGAGAGAGAGAGAGAGAGAGAGAGAGAGAGAGAGCCAACAAACCCCTCAGACGAGCATTCTCGCGCTCTGTAGTCAAGGGCAAGGGTGCTATCGCCGAGAGTCTACTGTGTCGGGTAGTTTCTGTACGACGAAGGCATAAAACAATCAGAAGAGGAAGAGAGAGAGAGAGAGAGACAGAGAAAGAGGATAAACGGGATCGGGGGTTGAACACCTCGGCGCGAAAAATCTCGGATTTTTTCCTAGCGAACTTCAAACGAACCCATCTACTTGATCCCGAAAGGGTTCGTCGTATAGCCGCGAAAGTCTTCTTCGTCTCAAAGAAACGGGTGGTGAAAATAGAAGAGCGCTGAGTTTAGCGGAATGTCTATAGTCTGGGCATCGTTGAGATTTATCGATCGCACCGTGATTCTAAAGAAGACAATGTGAGTGCTGAGAAAGTAGCTACCATTGACGGGTCACGAAGAAGATAATCTGAATTATGTGGATATGTGATAATTGAGTATCCGTGTTCCCTTTACGAGTGCATTACTGAAGTTGCTGAGAGTATTCAATGGGAAATTAGAACGATAGAGCGTTAATATGCTCTTTTATATAGTCGGAATTATTTCTTTTCACATATAATGAAAATACTCTTATAAATGATATAAAAGAAAGGTTTCTTGCTTGAAAAATTACGAGAGTAGTTTATATTCATTTCTCTCAATTATTCTTTTCTATTGTAACGATAATAACTCTGCTCGTTATATTCCGTCTTTCGAAGATAAAGCTATTTTTTAAATTATATCGTGCTATATCGATTGAGAAAGAAAGAAGGACATAACATTCGGTACATTCAGAACACCTTCATTGCTTCGTATAATTATCTTGAAAATTGCTGAGATGACGTCAGCAATCTTCGTGGCGAGGTTCTTTTGTTTTAATCCATCTCGTATCTTTGCCGCAATTAAAATCTGATCCGTTGAAAAACAAAGTTAAATAACGATGTAGTATGTAAGTGATACCATGTCGATGGCAAAAAGGAGTGTTAACCTCTCACAAAAGAGAAGGATGTG